GCACAATAGAGACAGCACAAGAGAAATTGGTTCTGCTCCTCCTTTGGTCCTCAGGTATTGTTTTGTGGCTATGACCCAAACAAATTTTAGTAGAAATTAAGCAAAATTTCCATCACTGTCCTCTCAAAAAATTTCCATAGAACTGAAATTGTTCACAGTGGCATATCATGTTCTGATAAAGTCATGAATTTCAAAAGTTCTACTGTTGTTTTGACGGACTTGACTTTGCTTCATTTTCTGCTACTATTTTGGTTGCTTTTTCAGTTCTATGAGGTTCATTACTCTTATTTTCCATAACCTTGATTTAAATACAAAGTTGCCAGCACTAAGGTAAGTTTTGGCTTTTAAGTATTAATGCTATGATTAACTCAGCAGAAATCAATCTATAGCATATCAAAGACTATGCAGACTCAATTTTCTTAGTGAAAGATGGAATTTTTTAGTGGTAGAGGAGGTGGAGGAACATAGCAATTTTTTATTCCATTTAGTAGCAACAGGTTAGTTACATTGTTCTCATCCTCATGTCAGGAAATGTACGTGTTCCTACGACAATCAGATTGTCACTTGAAAGGTCTTTTAAAATACAAGAAGCAGCTGTCAGTGAAGCATGTGACTATGCCACTAAGAATGAAGAAATGATGGAGGCTTTTCTATGGGTAAAGAAGCCAATGCTATTTAAGGCAGGACAGAATAAAAAGGGATGTGATGTGACCAGCATGGAAATCTGCTGATTATGTGCCTTCCTAAGCACATTCTGCCATCAGTGCATTCCTTCTGTGGTTGTGATGTTAATTCCTGTTAGAGAGTCCTGGTGATGCATGCTTAACTTCGTGAGAAATTTTCCTGTGGGGCTGAATAATTTTCATTGCCCTGTAGCTGCAAGACTGCACCAGTCTTTGTATGCTCAAAGTGAATATCCACTGTTATTCCTTGAAATAAATGCTAAATTTTCTGATTTTCCTTGCTTTTGCAATGTGTGTGCTAGATATTATTTTAGTTATAAAATTAGGATAAAAATTCATTCATCTGTAATTATATTATCTCATTTGGCATCTAACTCTAGGACAAGAAATCAGTGATTTAATTTCCTTTCAAAGTCTTTGTCTATCAGATACAGAACAAGCTTAATAATTACCTCAGTTATTGTGAGAACTGTGCCTTCAATATTACATTCCTAATTGTTTTTAGATAAGGAAATTTATTTTTATAGCTCACTCAGCTGACTATTGCAGGCTGGGTGATTCTCCCTTATTTTCAGTGTAGATAGCAAGGTCTATAGATTATATTAAAAGAAATTAATATTGTCCTTCTGGTTCATACAATAGGATGCATTAAAAGTACTTACCTGAGTACACAATATATTTTGATTTTGTATGAGAAAATTTAATCCAAAATAAACATGTTTAATAAATATTCACAGAATACCCCAGTAGAGATCTGTAGTGTACCTGAAACTTCCAAGAGCTTAATCATCACATTAAAAATAGTTTTATATTATAACTGCGAGTGAGATAAACCCATACTTTGTGTGGAAATACTATGTTTATGGTCCAGTCAATTGTGCAGGAATAATCTGTATATTTTCAACCACTAATTCACAAGTCTCCGGTTGGGAAAATTTTACTGTATGCCTTGAGCTGAATTAAACACTGGCTTGTGCTATAATACAGAAGATTTAATGTACAGTGCACTGGGCAGTCTTATCACCATAAGCTGTTCTTCCTGGTGTATGCAGAGGTGCATCAGGAGTTGATTCCTTATGTACACATTCAGTGGTACCAATCCCACGAACATTAACTCAATATTGGATCCATTCTCCATCACAGTTCTGCTGCCCGATGGTGGCTTTCGGCCTTTGAGCACTTATGTCCATGAGTGATGGATTGTTGCAAGACAACTCTGCAATGTACCTCCTTCCCAAGGGAAACCTCACTCCCTTATAGAGAGTCCTTCTGTCCTGTCACTCCTATTCCGTCCAAACCGTTCAACCTCTTCTGCAGTTGGACCTTCTTGTCCTCCATGCCACATTATCTTTTGGTCACAAATTACCAAGTTTTAGCAGCTACAGTTTGATTTTCCCCTTCACTCTACTGTGTATGCACAAAAGCCCCTTAACTTGATCACTCTTTCCAGATTTTCAGAGGATCAACAAAATGGCAACTGTGGCAAAAGCTGCTCTTTCAGCAGAGAATGAGGGCTTCTTTGAAATCTGGGAGCACTAGAACTATAACATGACAACCCTTGAGAGAAATTTCTAACCATAACCTAACACCATAGGCTGTAAATCCTTCACCAACTGAACCATCATACTTTTGATACTTTATGATTCATCACAGTCCATCTTGTTCTGTCATTGATGCAAAGCTCAATGTCTCAATTCCATCACTGGCATAATTTTGTTTCTAAGAGCTATTCAATCATAACTAGCAGACAAAAGAAAATCCAGTCCATAGCTCATTGCTCCTTGGAGTAAACTAATCCCACCACCTGATGTGTTGATATATGTATCTTTTTGTTTTACAAATCAGGATTTCTATTTTTGCATTTGAACAAACTGTGCCAGAGAGTGAATTAATTAGTTCTTGAGATGAAATAAATTGACTAGGTACATGAAGTATGTTGGTCTCTTGTGAGATTGTTCTAAGCATATGAAAATTGTGGGGTTTTTTTTAATCAAATAAATGTTTCAGAATATATGTACATTTCAACGAGTACTGTTCCTTAGTGAAATGTAGGGTAGTCATCACTGAAGAATGTAAGGTACTTTCTCATCAGTGATTAATGAAGCTGATGGTCTTGGCTTCAATGTTGTTTTGTCAACAATCCAAGAAATATATCATTGTCAAAAATAGAGTAATTGGAGGATCAGGACCTGTGAGGTCATTGGTAATCTTTTTCTGTATTGAATTTGGCAAAGTACAAACCAAGTTGACAATAATTTTTAACATTAGCTGTTACATCAGCTGAAGTCTGAACCACCATTTCAAACTGAATGATTGAAAAGCATTTTGTAGATAGTATCATGAAATAAGAGTTGTGGGATTTTTGAAAAGAACATTAGCAAAGGAGCTGTTTGGGAATACTCACTTAAAATCAGAATCCTGTCATATGTACAGCAGAAAGAAAGCTTTGATAGAATAAACTTGATAATCCTTATGCTTACAATGTGATAAATTAATGTATTCTATTAAGTTCAAATTTACAGCTAAAAACTTATATTCTTCAAGTGCTTTTTTTCATAGCTGGAGGGAATTTTTTCATACTGTTTCAAACATCAGTGTGTTTATCTGAATCATTCCAGTTAGAAGGAAGATCTGTTTCCTTGAATTTAATGCATTTCTTTGAGGTTCATTTTTGAGACAATTGATTCAAATAAGTAAATTTTAACTTTGGGTGGTTGCTGTTTCATTTTGTATTTTTTTAATTTTATTTTTCTGCAACAATACTTATCTAAAGATAAGTATTTACTTTTAGAGTAAAAAAAGTAAATTTACTTTTTTTATACGCAGGTTAATGCAATTGAAAATATTTGTCAGGAGTTTCAGTGTCTTTAAAGTTAAGTAAATTGCTGGCGTGTTTATCTGTACACACAAATATATAATTAATGAGAAAACTATCATTTTGGTACACCAAAATATCAGAACTTATCTCTAATAAGACACAGAACATGTTGTTAAAGGTGAGCTACTTATGCTAGCCAATAAAACAACTGCTTTAGAGACAAGGTTACTCTGAGTCTTACACCATTGGGATTGCTTTTACGGAGACCATTTAGTGATATGAACATAATGGAAATGTCTTGGATCATCCCCATACAACTGTATATTTTGCTATAAAACATATCAAGCTGTGAAATTTGGGTGAATAGGATGTTTCTACTATCTATATCATAATAAGGCAAGCTTTGTAATACAGTAACAGTAGAGTACTTGGACTATAGCTTTATCATATTTCAAGGGTGGAAGGTAAATTCACACTTACAGAAAATTGGATATGGCAAGTTTGATATTTTATGAAGACATTTTCAAAGGGATGAGGGATAAACAAATATTTTCAGGCAATATTTAAAAAAATATGTGCCAATGCTATATACATACATATGCAAGTCTGTATAGATCTGCAGTAGTATAAGTATATATTTATAAATATATATCTAGGGTAGAACAAGGGATGGCAAGGACACACTGCCACAGAAGTATCTTCTCTCATAAAAAAATATGCTGGCATCGTCTGTTAGTCAATGGGGCTTTGATATCTTGAACTCAAGGGGTAAGATACTTATATAAAATAATTTTTATTATTTTTCTGAAATCAATGCACAGATAGAGGAGCAAAGGATGTGTTCCAATTATACAACAGAGTATGAGCGTGTGTGATGACATTCACCTAACATGTGCAAAACAAAAGTTAGGATGAGAAAAGGCTTATCAAGTTGTTCCTTGGCAAAATAAACTGTTCCCAGTGCTGTGCCTATAACGCTTTGTCCAATGTGCTGACACTGGTAAACCAAAGGTCCAGTCATTACATTCTCCTTCATTACAGAAAAGCTGAGTAAGAAGTTGGTGCTAGGTATTTTCTTTCTGTCACCTGAGAGATTAGTATTTATTCTTGAACAGTTTGTTGGTTAACTGCTGCTGCAGTAAACGGTGCTGCAGAGGGACTACAAAATATAGTTGATACCTACTTCATAAAATAGTTGCTTTAGAAAGGTTTCTTGCTAGGCTTCATAATACAGAATGAATGTAAATCTAGGAAGAGAGGCTGGACTGAGGAAGACTGGATAGTACAGTGAAACTTCTTGGGAAACTCAAAAAAGGAACTGAGGGACTGAAAAAATTGCACTCATCTCTTGAAGGTAGCTGGAAATCAGACAGGAGCAGGCTGCTAGGTAATAAAGGAGTTTGAAAACCATGATAAACAAAAGCTTTCAGAGGACAATGATTTTTATCCTAAACTAAATTAGTTTCAATAGTTTTAACGAAGGAATTTTCTTTTCAAAGGTGCTGTGATTGTCTCCAGGACTTGGACCCTCTAAGTCTTAAGGTATGTTGTTTATGATTTCCATAATAAAACAACTCAATATGCGTATTCCTTCTATTGCTGTTTGTGTATATGTTGCAAGACAGTTAAAAATTAAATTGATTTAGTCTTACATTTGCAAATGCTATGAATTTTTTTCTCTGTATGGAAAAGGTGGGATGTATGTACTTTTTCTTCTTTTGCCTGGCAAGTGGGTCGCAGGTCATATATGTCATCATTCTTAAATGGATGAAATAGCTTTAAAAAGTTTTGATAAGTTTTATTGTGTTTTGTGGTTTACATTTGTAAATCATGAAGTCTGAAAAAGAAAGAAAAATACAATCTCTGCATGATTATATTGAACTTTTCTTTACTGAGCCTTCATTTTGATTGACTGTGTATCAAAAGTCCTGTTCGTGTAACTCATTATTTGAGAACATCATCTTTCCATTTTTTTATAAAATAAGGTGCTTGGTGAAGCACTGTGGATAGGAATAGAGGGGGAAAAGGAAAAGAGTTCAAGGAAGGGAAGTTCTGGGAAGTTCAGGGAAGTTCAGGGAAGGGAAGTTCAGGGAAGTTCAGGGAAGTTCAGGGAAGTTCAGGGAAGGGAAGTTCAGGGAAGGGAAGTTCAGGGAAGGGAAGTTCAGGGAAGTTCAGGGAAGTTCAGGGAAGTTCAGGGAAGTGAAGTTCAGGGAAGGGAAGTTCAGGGAAGTTCAGGGAAGGGAAGTTCAGGGAAGTTCAGGGAAGTTCAGGGAAGGGAAGGGAAGTTCAGGGAAGGGAAGTTCAGGGAAGGGAAGTTCAGGGAAGGGAAGGGAAGTTCAGGGAAGTTCAGGGAAGGGAAGTTCAGGGAAGGGAAGTTCAGGGAAGGGAAGTTCAGGGAAGGGAAGGGAAGTTCAGGGAAGTTCAGGGAAGTTCAGGGAAGGGAAGGGAAGGGAAGGGAAGGGAAGGGAAGGGAAGGGAAGGGAAGGGAAGGGAAGGGAAGGGAAGGGAAGGGAAGGGAAGGGAAGGGAAGGGAAGGGAAGGGAAGGGAAGGGAAGGGAAGGGAAGGGAAGGGAAGGGAAGGGAAGGGAAGGGAAGGGAAGGGAAGGGAAGGGAAGGGAAGGGAGTATTTAGTTGCCAACTGGAGTTTAAACGCAGTAGTGATTTAGTGCCCTTCCTTCCTTCCTTCCTTGGCTTCCTTCCACCACTTCCTTCTGCCACATCCTTTCTTCCTCCCTCCTACTCTCCACTTTTGTTTCTGCTCCAGGCTGATTACACTTGTGTTATAGAACAGTGAAAATTTTTAATATCCTTTGAATGCCCTTGAAAACAAACTGGTCCTTTTTCTGGGATCCAGGATGTTGCTGAATTATGGTTGAGGTATTTTTTACATTGGCTTTTGTTTCACTGTACACTATAGCTCCAAAATGACCTCCAAATCTTTAAGAGATTCTGATAGTACCTTCACAATACTTTCTATTCTGAAAGTTCCCATTCTTTGTTCCAAGCACCTTTCACCTTTCTTCTTTGTTTTGTTGCTGTGCTACCTCTGAAATCACTCTGTCACAAACCCACTGAAAGGTCTCAAAATTCAGAACGAGCATTTAAAGCAAGTCGTCAGAACTGATATTATATTGCATCCATGTTCTTTTCTCTCAGCCAGCTCTTTTTCTCCACCCTTTGTCTGCACTCTTAATTTAAGTGTTAAACCCTTGGGTCAATTAATGGTCCATAACATTTATACTGTCAGATGCAGCATGAAACTCCTACTATGGTGCCCTCTTTTTCCATTAGCACTATTAAAAAATTATGATAAAAAAATAGAGTGAGAGATTAATATCTCCCTGGAGTTTATAAAGAACAAGCCAAAGAGCAGTTATCCACATTTCCCATTTCTTTCTTCTTTGAGACCTAGGCACAGTCATGAAATTGCTAAGCAAGACCAGCAAAATGCTAATAGTGCAATTAGCAGTACAATTCTCAAACCTGAGTGGAATTTCAGACCATCACAGAATCTAAGCTCCCAAGGTGTAAAGAAATAGCAGAGTGCTGTCACCAGTAATATCATGAAGTTTTTCATATGCAGAAATTGGATTCTGCTTCAATAAAACATCCCTAAACAAAGGAAATGCAAAACATAGCCATTTATTTTGTTTCCATGATGGTGGAAATGCAACAGAATGTGTAGGCTTATTTTGCATGCCTTGCTTGTTTGAATTTACTAGCCCCAACTAAGTAGAACACTATTAGGTTTTTGTTCTGTGGGAAGATGCTTTTAAAAGTATTCTCCAGACTTTACCCTTACTGTCTCTCCAGTATTACCTCAGTTCACTTTCAAAAATTGGAATGCAGTTATGGTAAAAATGAACAAGTAGAGGATGAAATTGATGTTAAATATTAAACCTGTCTATTTAAATGGGGTTCTTGGGGGTTAGATATAGTGGCATTGTCCTTCTTGTGCAGATTCTTTATTTAAATTCCAGTTTTTTTGAATATCCATGACTTCAAAAGTCACAGCTAATATTCTTGCATGAAACCCACTGTCTTAACAGAGTAAAGACAAAACTAACCTTCTCTTTTTTTGCTGTTGTAAAAAAATATGTTATTATAACAGAGTTTACACTGATGCATCTCAAAGTACTGTGAAGTAAACAGAAGTTGTGATGATTTTTTCATTCTTTCAACCATTTTACAAGACTTCATGGAATCACAGAATGGATGAGGGTGCTAAGCATCTCTGGAGATAGCCTAGTTCAGAGCCTCTGCTCAAAGCAGAGTCATCTAGAGTAGATAGGATAATGTACAGTCAGATTTTGAGCCTCTCCAAGGATGACAACCTCACAGTCTCCTGGGGAACCTGCTCTTGTGTTCAAACAGCATCACAGCAGAAATTCTTTCCTTAATGTTTAGACAGAACCTCATTTATTTCAGTTTGCAGTTGTCTCTTGTCTTGCCACTTGGCATTAGTGCAGAGTTTAACTTCATCTTCTTCAGTTGCTCCAGATATACATTTGTGCACATTGATAAGATTCCCCCAAGTCCTTTTTCTCCATGCTGGAGAGTCCCAGCCACTGTCAGCCACTACTCACATAAGACAAGCTTTGGTCCACTATCTCTGTGACCCTGTGCTGAAGTTGCTCTAGTGTGTTCATGTCCTTTGTTTCGTAGAGGGCAGAGCTGTGCACAGTCCCCTCAGTCTGTCTCACCAGGTGTAAAGCAGAGGGGAAGGACCAGATGCCTCAATCTGCAAGCAACACTTCTGCTAATGCAGACCCTCTTTGCTGCAAAGGTAACATGCTGCAGCATGGTCAGCTTGTCTCCCAGGAACTCCAAATTCTTCTCTGCAGATCTGGTTTCCAGCCAGTCACCGCCCACCATGAACTTATGCTGGAAGTGTCCTTCCTCCCCAGACGTAGGGGTTTGCATTTTCTTTTACTGAACTTCATGAAGCTCCTGTTCATGCATTACTCCAGCCTGTTAATGCTCTCTAACAGGCAATAGATCCATCTGATATATCAACCACTCCTTCCTGGTTTGTATCATCTTCAAATTACTGAAGGCAAACTCTTCTTAACTTCTGTATGTGGTGGTTGAACACCCCTGAGCCTCGCAGATGTGTTCCTTGAAAGTCCATCATCTTTTCCCCTAAAAAGTAAGGAAAAAAGTGACAGTAAACACAAGTGGGTCTGCTGAAAGAACTCTTCAGAAGATGACAAGAAATCTAATTCCTAAATATTTTTTTTTTTTGCTTTTGCTGTTCACAGTGATCTAAATTCCATTTATGAGCTCTCCTGATCTAAAGCTCTGCCATGGATTCTGATTCAAAAATTGCTGGCAAGCAGTGGATGTTATCATTGTTCAGCCTTTCCTTTTCTGAAAAATTAAAACTCATTGAGTAGTCAAGGTACAACCTTGCATCTGGGATACGAACACAAAATTTGAGTCCTGTGCTAGGTGAGTTGTTTTTTCTGGAAATATCAGACACTATACACACCAGGGAAATCACAGGTAGTTTGCTCTTTTGTTTCCCTGCTTCCCCACTTTGTGTTGATTCTTAATTAATTCATATAAATCCTCCTAAATTCTCATGACATTGTTTCTCTTTATTGCTCAATATTTCTCCCTCGGATTTCTCTACAGACCTCAGCTCCTAATTTATTTATGTTGGTATCTTCTTGCTTTGTTGATTTTTATGGTGGATCTGACCTATGAAACATAATTTATCAGGTGTCAGTTTAACCCTGGCTGGCAACTAAGCCCCTCCTTATATAGCCACTCCTTCACTCCCTCCTGAAGGGTAAAAGTGAGTGAACTTTTGTGGATTAAGATAATGACAGTTCAATAGGTAAAACAAAGGAAAACAAGGTAATCATTCACTTCTTCCCATCCACAGGCAGCTGTTCAGCCATCTTCAGGACAGCAGGGCTCCACTATGCCTAATCTAGAATTGGGCAGACAAATGCCATTTCTCCAAATCTCCCCTCCCTTTCCCCTTTTCCCTCCAACTTTATATGCTGAGCCTGATGCCATGTGGTATGGGATATCCCTTGGGTCATTTGGGGTCAGCTGTCTCAGCTGTGTCACCTCCCAACTTTTTGTGCAGCCCTCAACCTCCTCACTGGTGGCATAGGTGAGGAGAAACAAAGACCTTGTGTCTGTCATAGCACTGCTCAGCAGTAGCAAAAATATGCCTTTGTTATCAGTACGGTTTCCAGAACAAATGCAAGCAGAACCCCATACTAATTAATAGGGAGAAAACTAATCCCATCCCAGCCAAAACGAGCAAAGCAGGGGATCAAACATACCTTTTCCTTCACTTTTTTTTTTAATGCTCTGTCTTCAGAGCTTAATTATTTATAGAGATCTTGCAAAGTTACCTGTGGCCACATATTTGAGTTTTATCCTTGAAATCTTTTCATACCTCTCAGCCAATGCTTGTCTTGCAAACAGTCCATATTCTTTGTCTTTCTCTTCCCTCGTTTCACCCTCCAATCCAGTGAAGGATTGCTTTGGGCCTTTCTGAAGAAGGAATCTTCCTTTGTGGT